CCAAAATAATGCAAAATTTTGGAGTAAGTTTCAAAATGAAAATTATAAAAGGTACAAAAATATAATAGAATCAAATAAAATTGAAGCATAATAATAATGAGTATATTAACAACTACCACGAATTATTATTATACAAATCACTCACATGACTTTAGGTTATTGTAAAAATTATGTGATTTGTGTAATAAATTATCAAATAATATAAATATGAGAATAGAGTTAGAAAAGTCGGCTTAAGAGAGTCGCAATATATGCTGTTTTAAAATCATGTGGCCTCCCCTTCGTGCGGTAATTTTGGCACTGCATTGTTCCAAGATAAAACCCTTACAGCTCGCAATCGATTCTCCTTCTGTGAGCTCGATCACATGGACAAAAATAACAAATCCTTATCAATTGTCAAAATTATAGAAGAATATAAGATGACTAGATAGTATCTTTCAAGTGTTTGTTTTGTTTGGTGTAAAACAATGGAAAATTCACCCCTTTTATAGTAGAAAAACAACACTCTCACAATGAAAAATAATCAAATTAAACATAAGTTACAAATATAATAATGAGATTAAATTTTTGTATTGAATCTAAAAATTAAAATAAAAAACTGGAAAATTAAAAAAATAAAAATTGAAATTTTAATTTTAATATGAAGGTTTTTAAATTTACCTTCAAATATTCTTCATGAATACTGCTAATTGTAATTAGCGATCGCTATCAATTTAAGTGATGGCAAACCCCTAATTCACAGATTGAGGATATCACCACATTGAACAAATTGCATTATTAATAGGTTTTTAGACATAGTGATGGAAGGGAATCGAGTGAGAGGTTACTAAATTGTGAGGAAAGATTTAAAATACTAGTGATAAAAATAAAGTTCAAGTAAACTTAAGTAAACAAGTAAATAACTACAAGCTTCAAAACTTTTCAATAAGTTATCAAAACAGAAGCACGTTCTTAGAATCAAAATAATGAAAGACAAGTTAGAAAACTAATATCTTTAATGAGGAAAAAAAATTCTATAAGCTCCAAAATAATGCAAAATTTTGGAGTAAGTTTCAAAATGAAAATTATAAAAGGTACAAAAATATAATAGAATCAAATAAAATTGAAGCATAATAATAATGAGTATATTAACAACTACCACGAATTATTATTATACAAATCACTCACATGACTTTAGGTTATTGTAAAAATTATGTGATTTGTGTAATAAATTATCAAATAATATAAATATGAGAATAGAGTTAGAAAAGTCGGCTTAAGAGAGTCGCAATATATGCTGTTTTAAAATCATGTGGCCTCCCCTTCGTGCGGTAATTTTGGCACTGCATTGTTCCAAGATAAAACCCTTACAGCTCGCAATCGATTCTCCTTCTGTGAGCTCGATCACATGGACAAAAATAACAAATCCTTATCAATTGTCAAAATTATAGAAGAATATAAGATGACTAGATAGTATCTTTCAAGTGTTTGTTTTGTTTGGTGTAAAACAATGGAAAATTCACCCCTTTTATAGTAGAAAAACAACACTCTCACAATGAAAAATAATCAAATTAAACATAAGTTACAAATATAATAATGAGATTAAATTTTTGTATTGAATCTAAAAATTAAAATAAAAAACTGGAAAATTAAAAAAATAAAAATTGAAATTTTAATTTTAATATGAAGGTTTTTAAATTTACCTTCAAATATTCTTCATGAATACTGCTAATTGTAATTAGCGATCGCTATCAATTTAAGTGATGGCAAACCCCTAATTCACAGATTGAGGATATCACCACATTGAACAAATTGCATTATTAATAGGTTTTTAGACATAGTGATGGAAGGGAATCGAGTGAGAGGTTACTAAATTGTGAGGAAAGGGACAGTTTTGAACTATAGAGTTAGTCGTCTAAGTGTTAGGTATATGGTGGTGGCAACTGGCAAGAAAACAATATTGTTCCCTTTCTTCCTTCTCGTTTAATTTAGTTTTATAGTTGTTCCAAAATATCTTTTGAGGGATAGAGGCACAAACTCGATTTTCACTAAATAAATTGTCCCATGACTTAAAATCATATTTCATCTTTGGGTTCAAAATCATATCATTTCGTACTTTCACATTCTACTCAGAGAATGGATTTTTCATAATGGATGACCAAAAATTCAGTGCATTCCATTTTGTTTCTCATCCCACTATTTTGTAACACCTCGAGTTTACTTCTTTTGTTAAATTTTAACTTTTTCGCTACTCAATATCTTGAAATCGATAGATAAAGCAAAAAATGACGAAACACACGCATGGTAGTTAGTATGTCTTATTCCTTATTCTCTTCTCATTCAAAACAATTCTATCTGTCACAATCAAAATTTGTTTCTTTTCAATTTTTTTAAATCATATTCATTTGCCAAGGGTACGGTAAAATATCTGGAAAAGAAATGTGCCAAATGGAGGGGAGGGATGTCGTGTCGTGTCGTGCTTAATAACAACGGTTTATGAGCTGTTATCATTCCATTCCATCCATAAAATAATCCAAAAAGCATATTCCTGAATCAAAGGTTTTGGCAAGAGGGGAGGGTAAAATCGTCATTTCAAGTATGTGAAAAAGACTGCGACAAGTGTAACTGTCTTTTGGTCTGTCAAGAATATAATCACGTGAAACAAAATTGAGCTATTATCCTCTGTTTCTCGACCAGTCTCCTCTTTCGGGCTATTTTTGCCTTTTTCACATGTCTTTTATTTTTACTTTTTTATTTAAGAGCCTTCAAAATAAGTTACTTTAATTTATATTTGAAAATAAATTTTTAAAGGGGCTTTCTATGTTGAAGGTTGAACCCCAATTTTGATGGCCCCCACCGTCCCGCCTTTAGAGCTTTGTGAGGGAGATAAATCGTTAGATGTGCCCTACCAGGCCAGGGAACAAGAGCTGCCTGTACATTGCGCCTACAAGGAGTCCAATTCCATGTCTCAGAAATCGAACCCTCACACTGCAGCTGCCAGTAAGGCATGAGATAACCTCACTTCTGTTTTTTGCACCACTGGGCTATGCCCCGGGAGGCAAGGGGCTTTTTATGTTGAAAGTGTCTAGAGGTGTCAAAGAGTCGAGTCAAAACTCCCGGCTCGTGCTTTTTTAAGATGGACTTTTTTTTTTTGCCCAAGTCGAAGCCAATTTGGTTGAGCTTGTCAAGTCGGCTCGATTTTCTGCATTTTTTAATCTTCCTCTTAGTTGCCTGTTTGACAGCTAAATGATTGTTTTGTTTTGTTTTTTTTTTAACGGGTCGACTCGACTCGACCCGATTTGCAACCAGAAAATTGAGGTTTGGACACAATTCTATTTTTTTTAGTTCAAGTTGAGTCGAGCTACAGCTATATCAAAAAATCGAGACTCTACTCGAACTTTCGACTCGGTCCTTACCGAGCCAAGTAGGCACGTTTTTTTTTTCATCACGAAGGTAGTAAGGCTACTGCTTTTTTTTTTAGGCCGACTTGCTAGCCACATGGACCGACTCGAGTTCAGCCACACACTCCAAGATGGGGCTCGGCTCAAATCGGGCAACTTGAGTGGACGAGCCAATTTGCCATCACTAAAAGTATCTTTACAAAAAGTCACATTCTCTAACAACTCTTTTAACAACAAAAAATACTTTCATAAAAATAACAAAATGGCCCCAAAAGTAATCTTTTGGATCTTAAAAGTTCTTTTTGACTTTTTAGAAAGGGAAAATTGCAGCAGAAGTCTCAAACTTTTAAAATACTTGTAGACTTTTTCCAAACCTTTGACTTAAGGCAGTAGTCACCCATAACCTTTACATTCATTGCAGTGAAGGCCCTTTTGGACGGAAAACGTCCAAACGTCCATCAGTTGACCGCCCAAATAAAAAAATGACCACTTTTAACCAAAATAGAGGAGGGTAAAATCGTCCAAACACTTAAAAATACCATTTCATCTTATTCCTCCGACCACCCAAAACCTAAAACACCGTCGTCTTTAGATGAAGTTGAATCGAGACTCAAGGCTCTGAAACTCAAGTACAACAACCAGGTCCAAAGTAATTATCCGAAAAATTCTGTCAAGCTTTACCTCCACGTCGGTGGAAACACGCCCAACTCTAAGTGGGTCGTTTCTGAAAAAGTCACTTCTTACTCTTTCGTCAAATCTGGCTCAGAAGATGACGAAGAGGATGAAGAAAATGAAGAATCCGACCCGACTTCTTGGTGCGTCTTGAAAATCGGGTCAAAAGTGAATCAAGATTTACAGTTCAAGGCATTTAAAGATCAGAAGCGTGTTGATTTCGTGGCAAATGGGGTTTGGGCAATTAAGTTCTTTAGCCCGGAAGAGTATAAGAGTTTCGTTAGGAAATATCAGGAGTATTTGTTTGAGAATACCTATGGGTACGAAGCGAACGATGCGAATAAAGTGAAGGTTTATGGGAAGGATTTTCTGGGGTGGGTGAAACCAGAGGAGGCAGATGATTCGATGTGGGAGGATGCGGAGAAGAGTTTATATAAGACTCCCACAAAAACTCCCATTAAACAAAGCCATGATTTGAATGAGGAGTTTGAGGAGGCTGCTGAAAACGGTAGGGCCATTTAGAGTTTGGTATTTTAAATGTTTGGACGATTTTACCTTTTTCTATTTTGGTTAAAAGTAGTCAATTTTTTATTTGGATAGTCAACTGATGGGCGTTTGGACGGAAGCCATCCAAAAGGGCATTCACTGCAACGAATGTAAAGGTTAGCGGTGACGACTGCTACAAATCAAAGATTTGAAAAAAGTCTGCAGGTGTTTTAAAGATTTGGAGCTTCTGCTGCAATTTTCTCTTTTAAAAATAAGGCCTTACAGACCCTTAACATATTGAGGTTTGGAATCTTATCCGAGTAAAGAAAAAAGTAGTGCACCCGATAAAAAAAAAAAAAAAAAAAAAAAAAAAAAAAAAAAAAAGAAAAAGGAAAAAGAAAAAAAAAAAAAAAAAGAGAAGAAAATTAAAAAAATTATTAAAAAGCAAACATGAATATAAAATCATTTTGATTTTGTCAAATGTATAAAGAATACTGACCTGTATGATTTATTGCGCCATCATGGACAATCTGAAAAATGCCAATGGTACAAGTAGCTCGATCTGGGTCAATAGATTAACCTCTGTAGAAAATAGAATGATTTCGAGAAGCATGATGTGTTAATTCTATTGCGCATTTCTTCTCTATTTCATTGTTGAAAAATACTTAAATTCCAGACTCCGCAGGCTGTTGACTGACTTGGAATTTCATTCTTTGGACAGAGATAGAGTAACATTCAGTTTCATGGTGTAATCCAGAGATGTTTTATTGAGTGCAACAGATTTTTTTGAGGAATACTTCTTGGTGCATGGGAAGCTTGTTACACTTTCTTGACGCTAACGAGGACAGAATGGCTAGGAAAGTGGTTATGCATAAAAGGCTTGATGGTGGTAAGTGTTACCTGTGTCAAGCAGTAGGGGGAAGCTACTAGGAACTTCTAAGATATATTGCTCCACGCTTGCAACACTTTTAATGAAAGAATTGCGAAGTCTATTGTTAGTTGTGTTGTTTTTTGAACAATGGTTTATACTTTGCTTATGAGCTAAGAGCTTGAGATCAAAATGCAGAATGATGCAAAGTTTTTTCTTTTCCTCAGACAGTAATTGTCCGAATAAAGTTTTCAGTTACTGCACCTTTGTCAATTAGAGCTACTTTCTGGTATACTTGAGCTCAGTGTACCACAGTTATTTGAATGTATATTCAGGGCTGTCATCCCTACTTAGTTGTCAAATGAGACACATTCTCATCATATTAATGGGTAATAGTATGATAACTTATCATAACACCATGTTTGTTGAATAAGAAAAGGGGGATCTCTAGTTCTATTTATTATTCTTTTTCTCTTCTTACTAACCAGAAGTAATGCTCTCTGTTTGACATTTCTTCAGGCCTGGAGGCTCCTCGAAACAGTTTGGAGATACCTTTGGAGACTTCCTATAGCTTGTGTGCTGCGCGAGAGAGTATTCCGGTAACAACGTAATGCCTTGTTTCAGTTGAGCTCTGACTGTAGTAGTTTATCATTCTTAGTAGTAGGTTTCTTCACCTTCCATACTAGGAGCTTATAGGTTCTGAAGTTTCCCTTCATTGTAAACTGCATATCTAATAAAATTTTCAGACTTGAAAATAATACGAAGGTGGTCTTTTGGTTTGCTTATCGATTTTGTTGGTGCACTTTCATGGTCATGCTTCCCTCGTGCATTTTGATAAATTATACTTTTCATCTTGCCTTGTTAGAAGGAATCATTTTCTTTTCTTTGTCTAACGTATTCTAGTTCCAACTCCAGTGAATTTGCATGTATAGTATAATTTTAGTAGTGTTCAGAAGCTTCTCGATTTGGTATGTTCTCAGATCACTCACAAATTGCTACATTTACTCAGTATGCTTATCACAAGAAAAAGGAGTCTGAGAAGAACTGCTATTCGAATGAGGCTCCAATGAAGAAGTTAATCAGTGAAGAGATTTCTAAAAGACCAAACACCAGGCAAAATGCACCAAGCATAGTGGCTCGTCTAATGGGCGTTGATATGTTACCATTTGATTCAAAACCAGCATCAAAGGCTTCTGAAATGAAGAATGAAACTCCAGAAAGCAACTTCTTGAAAAAGCATTGGTCAGGAACGAACTCAGGTGGTCGTGTCCCCTCAACCTCAAATTCCTCTCTAGAAATAGACTTTGGTTGCTTGGAGGATAGTATAAACAGAGATCCTGATCAGCTCAGATGCATGAGGTTGAATAGGCCTAAACCCAGAGAACATCCTCAAGAGGAGGAACTACAGAAGTTCAAGAAAGAATTTGAAGCATGGCAAGCTGCACGGTTTAAGGAATGTTCAAAGATTGCGGAATTTGGCAGTTCTCCAAGCCAGTTGATTGCACAAGAGAACCTCAACAGAGAAAAAATGGTTCTTTATGCAAACTCTGAAAGAGCCATGGCTAGTGGGAGACTGATGGAACCTGAGGATCTTACAGTAATACCAAGTTTGCACGATAAAGGTACTTTAAAAGGCTGGAAAAATGATAGTGAATATTTTGCAGCTGAACACAAGGGGTCTCCATATTCAAGAAGAATGTCAAGAACAGATTTTAAGGCATCTCCTCTGATGAATTCTGATCAGAAACCTGATATTGTTTCTGCCCCCACCAAAATTGTGATTTTGAGGCCTGGTTTAGGTCCAGAGAGGATGTGCAGTGGTGAAGATTCATGGAACAGTACTCCCAGTACATCAGGAGAGAGAGGAAGTATAGAAGATTTGCTTGAGGAGGTGAAAGAAAGGTTGAAGTCTGAGCTTCAAGGTAAAAGCCCGAAAAGGAGCACAACAGTTAGGGGAGGAGGCATTGAGACCCCTTATCGGGAAAAGCCATCAGAACCCAAACAAATAGCTCAACGTATAGCACAACAAGTCAGAGAGAGTGTTACAAGGGACATTGGGATGAATTTACTTCGCTCAGAATCTACAAAATCTTATAGAAGTGAAATTCAGTTAAACGGAACTGGTTCTCCTGATTTCATAAATGGAGATACTAGGAGATTCTTGGCAGAGAGGCTGAAAAATGTTCTGAAGGGGGAAACACATGGGGAAGTACCAATGGTTTCCCATAATAGGTCAAGATCGTCAACATCAGATTATGAAAAGGGCAGAGCAGAACATTCAAGAGATATCTGGAGTGGAAATAGAATGAGCTATCATCCTGGTGTTAAGAACGAACCAGAAAAGCGAAGTAGGTCTTTTAGACAGGAGCCTGATGATGTAATGCTCCATAAGGAACTATCTCCTAGGAATCTTGTCAGATCTTTATCAGCCCCAGTATCAGGAACTTCATTTGGAAAGCTCCTTCTGAAGGATCGACATATACTGACAGGGGCTCAAATCAGGAGGAAGCATGAAGTCATTGAAAATGTTTCAATGAACATGAAGAAACGGAAGAAGGAAAAGTTCAACATTAAGGAAAAGGTTTCAGGCTTTAGATATGGCTTAACACTTAGGGGGAAGCTATTTCGGAGGAGGGTTCAGTCAGTAGAGGAATTACGTCAATCTAAACATGACTGCATGAAAGATATCAGAAGTCAACCAACAGTGACAATGAGTTTGTATGACAGATATGTGAGGATCTTTCTGTGACTTTTTCCTTAACATTTTCTCTCCCTGCAAAAAAAAATAATTTTCTGATGCCACAAGTTACCAATAGAGTTAACTTATGGTTCCCTTAAAATCCATATTCTAGGAAAATTCCACTGAAGTGCCACCAAGCCCTGCGTCTGTGTGCAGCAGCATTCACGACGAATCCTGGAGGCATGGAGAGTATTTCAGCCCAACATCGGCATCAGATGCACATCAACTAGATGACAGTGAGATTCCTCATGTTTTCAGAGAAATAAACTCGAACTTGAGTGGTAAGTGAATTAATGATTTCATATCTTTCTGAACATAACAAATAATGTATTTGTTGCTATATGTCACTCATTGGACATTAATTTCTTGGATGTGCACTTTCTATGTAGTTATCTGGTGAGGATTTGGATCCTTAGGACTTGGAAGTTTTTTGAGAAAAAAAATTGTTTACTTTATTTTTCTTATTGACTAGAACATGTGAAGAGACAGACAAGCCAACTCAGTTTTTTATATGTTACTGATTTTGGCGTTTTATATTTTTTTGATAAATTTATACATATAAATGGGATAGAAAGCATAGGTACTTCTTTCCTCTCATCAAATAGGATTCCATTCCTGTTTTGGTTGCCCCACATGTCAGTGTAGCTCGATGATGTCACATTGTTACGTGATAACTGAGTAGAATGTTCAAAATATTGTTATTATTTCATTATTTTTGTCATAACTTATAATTCAAAAGTCCCATAAAAACAAGAGATATACCTAGAAAACTATAATCCTTTGTATAAGTCTGTGAAATATCTAGTTATTGGTATGCTTCAATCAAACCAGTGTTTACAGAAGTTTGGCATCTTGAGTGATAAGGACAAGTTTCTTTTCTCTCTGAGAAACTTGTGTTGTAGATAAGGGCTTGAAAAATATATCAGATCATATCTTTATTTTTCTACTATTGGTGGTGATAGCGTTGTCAGTGCCTTGAAACAGGTTTTATTTCTATTGTGGCTATTTGAAATCTGTAATTCGGTAGTTGATTGCCCTCTTTAGGATTACTGGAAAACTTTCTACTTTCTTTTGAATTCTAATACAATGTGCATAAAGTCTTCATTTGCATTTTTGCAACATTATTGGTCAAACAATCTTTCCATTGCTGAACTGCATCTTTCTTTCATATTAATATCTTGTTTGAGCTACATTATTTTCATAAGAATGCATTTTTGAATAGTGTATTGATATGAAATGCGTGGTTAAAAAAAAAAGTTTTGGATTTGCGTATAAAATTATTTTATTGAAGAAGTATGGTTGAAATGATGTCAAATCACTATTAAGAATGTATTTTTTTGAAAAAATATGGATCAAACAGGTTGTAAGTGTCACAATGAGCATATTTAACATGGCATGGGAGATATTATCTGATGATACACCTCTGCATTTGAAACTGTATAGTAGTTCCCATGTATTTTTCTTTTTCCAAATCCTATAATGTCTCTCATAGATCTTGAAAAAAGTTGATACTATAATTCTTTCATTCATGATGCAGAGCTGCGGAGGCAACTAAATCAACTTGAAGGCAATGTTCCAGAAGAGACAACTTATGAGCAGCCCATTGAAGTTGAAATGGAGATAGATAACCATGATGAAGCCTATGTGAGGGATTTACTTATTGCTGCTGGCTTGTATGATGGTTCATTCAAGAGATCTTTATCAAAATGGGACCCGCATGGTAAGCCTATTAGCAACCAAGTCTTTGAAGAAGTAGAAGAATCTTATATACAAAAGAGCAAGGATGGTGAAGGGTGCACAGAAGATGATGGCGAAAATTTGGGTCACAAGATGTTACTTGACTTATTAAATGAAGTGCTTCCAGCTGTACTGAGACCACCAATGAACATGTACAGGTATATGAATAAGGCTATTAGTTCTGTGCCACAAACCCCACATGGAAGGAATCTACTAAATCGAGTATGGGAAATTATTCGATTGTGTTTATATCCTCCAGCAGATAAATCCTTTTATGCTCTTGATGGCATGCTGGCCCGGGATTTGATGTCCAACCCATGGTGTGGATTGATGGAGGATGACATTAATGCTCTGGGTAAAGATATTGAATGTCAGATCATAGGAGATCTGATTGATGAAATGGTGAAGGATGTGAAGTCATAACTCTTAGGATCTTTTTCATGGATACCTTGAGAACATTCTTGCGCTTAGATAATTGGACTGTTCGAGATACGTTGAAGAAGCTTTTAGAGCATGAAAGGGATTGACAGTGCACGATTGTTCTAATGGGATTAGGATAGACTAGGTATAGAAGAGATTTACAAAGAAGATTGTGTGTGGATGTTGTGTGCTTTTCATGAATTGCTTGCATAGGATTCAGTTGATATGGAGTTTATCTGTACAATAGTAATTTTATGTTTATTCATCTTATAGCTTCATTCATTGTCGATTTGTAAGTGAAATATGACGATCGTGATATGGCACATAAGTGTCGCAGTGTGGGAAACTTTTTCGTTTTCCTATAAAAGATGAGTAGGTTTTATTGTTTAATGAAAGGCCTTAAATATTATGAAGTATCAGTCTCATTATGCCTATATGTTCTGCATAACAGTCTTGTAGACACCGGTTAGTTCTAATCAAACTTTAGTATAGACTTTATTACTTTCCCCTTTATAAAGTTTAAATAACACTTCCTTTGTTTTCTGTAACAGAAAAATATCAGGAAAATTCAACTTTTTCACCAATGATTTCAAGATTTTTTTATTTTTTTAATTATTATTATTTTTTAATCAGCTGACTGAATTAGATGTTGTTCATATTAAACTTAAGAATTTTGCTACGGTTATAATTTCCTGGATAGTTTTGTTGACATTGTGTTACATGGCACACATTTTTTGTCATTGATTTTATCAACACTTAAAACGATAAGCGGTCTCGATTTTGATAGTACAAATAGCTTAATCCTAAATACTTCAGTTTTTTTTAGTACATATCCAACTTCTTTTTTATTTTTATAATTTTTCCCGAAAAAGAGTTGAGCGAGGTTTATTTCGCCCATGTTTGAAGAAATTAAAATCTTTAGAGGGTCTCTCCGATCTTATTGTGTGTATTAATTTTTTAAAATAGACTTCGTTGTATTCAGAATGTCTTGGAGATGTTTTAAAATTTGGAGGTTTAAAAGACCGAAATGCTCTCGACACAACCATCCATTCTCACCACAACATGAATAAGGGCAGTTTCAGGATTTTGGAACTCCATTCTACACTTTGTCAGAATTAATACCATAAGTGAATATTTATAACACATATTATTGCATAATGAAGCCCATAATCTATCCAAAAAAGGTGATTTTATCACTTTATCTCCTGCAAAGAGTAAAAATATATTCTTCCTAATATATAAGACAACCAAATGGTCCCCCCTCCATTGATTTTCAATTCGGTTATGAATATACTTTTTTTACAAGGTTCATATACTTTCTCTACCAAAGTAGCAAAATATGCATAACTAAAAGTCACGAGTAGAAGTTGTGCTATTGGTCAAATCTTGACTTAACTACCAGGGAAAGACGATAGAATTATTATTATTATTATTTTTTTTTAAGGATGTGGGAAAATAGTGCTTTTAAGAAAATGTAGGCTAGCTAATTAAAATAATGTTAAAATCGTCCATTAAGGACCAAAACAAAAAATATAAGGGTTTAAATGTAAATAAGCGTTGAAGATTGGACCAAATTGCAATATATTTAGGGTACCTAATTCATTTATAAAGGCAGGTGAGGTGCCTAATTTGGAGGCGGAATTGACGGGAGTTAGTTGATGGATTGGTACAGACCATTTTAATTGTGGAGAAAACAACAAAACTACACATCCACTTCCATTTGTCTTTTTGTTTGCCTCCATAATTATTCCACCCTTGGAATATTGCTCAAATTCCTCCATTCCAACGAATATTCATTCTATTACTACCTCAGGCAGCATAATTTTTTTCAATATTTGATTTAATTACTTTACTTTATGTAAAAATTTAAATTATGTGTGAAATAACCATGTTGTTTATAATAATTCAACTAAAATATTCCCCCACTTTACATGCTATGCAACGTTTATCAACTATGCATAGAGAGCGGAAACGAACTCAATTGAATTTTACTAATTTGGATATCATAATGCTTAGAAGCCGTCTTTGTATGTACATTTTGCTAATTGCGAAACATTATATTTGACACTATGTGGAATTCATAAGATCATTACTAAATCTAGACGTTGGCTAGTATCACTTATTTTGACTTTAAAAAATTAAAAGGGTTCTTTATGAAAATCCTTTTTACCTAATTTCTCTTTGATAAAAAGTAGTATATTTCAAAATTTGACATGTTAAGCAAACCCTATTTTCTCACCCAAACTCTTCCAAGTCCCAATCTTAACGAAGTGTCAAAGTGTGAATTGAAGTAATGGAAGAAGTTTACTGACAGGCATCTTCTCTTTTGTCTTACTGGCATATCATCAATTGGTCTGATAACATTGGGAGAGATGTAAAGTTGTGTTTTTCGTCGAAGAAATCTCAAGAAAGTTAAGAATACAAGTGCGTCAGATATTCAGTCGTGATTAAAAATATACAATATTGATAAAGTCAAATATTGCATTCTTCCAATAGTGTCCATTTGCTCAATGTCGATTAGCCGAGTAATGACCTTAACTTGAGAGTTTCCTTATTTGTTTTTGGGATGAAAAGAAAAACTTAAAAATAAAATATCTTCATAATGTATTAAAAATAGCAGAGTGCACCAAACTATCTAAGTGTGAGAATTTGATAGGACTAGCAAAAAAATCAGTTCAACCCAATATCTATGAGGACTCCCCTAACCAGGTAAATGGGGGCGGGTACAACGTAGGAGTCATTTCCTCGAAGCGGATATGGGACGTATGGGAATCATAGTTCCCGCCCTGTTACTCGTCTAGTTTAAAGTTAATTTCAAATTTAATTTGTTTATCAAACAAAAATAAAGGATTTATCATCATTTTTAAAGAGAAAGTGAGTTATTTTTAATAAATTGGAAAAAAGTAATAATATTTACTAATTAAATATATAAAAAGTAAATGTAAATGGGCTTGATAAATGGGGTCGAGGACTTGCCCCACTTTAACCGAGGTGGAAATTACAGATTCTAATAGATTAAAAATCCCCATTTCAAAAATAAGATGCCATGTTTAATATTTCACAAATCAGAATTTTTTTAATTAATTAATATATTTAAAAAATAATCTAATTAATAATAATTTCAAAACTAATTTATTCATTTTCTACCTCTCTCTCTCTCTACCCCCGATTCTCTCTCTCTCTCTCTCACGTTTCTCTCTCTCACCTCACTTTCCAACACCCCCATTCTCTCTCTCTCTCTCTCTGCTTTCTTGTCGTCGCAGATATAGCGACGACAGATGTAGTAGATTTGAGACAAAATTCGACATATCCAGTAGATGACGGTGACAGAGGATATGCAGATCACGATTTGTGGATATGGCAGATCGTGCGAGGGGGTGGCATGGTGTGCGTTCGGCTGCAGCATCGAGACTTCGATGTGGGTGTGGTGTGTGTGCGTGGGTCTGGTAGCATGTGCGTTGGCGGTAATGGTGTGTGGCGGCGACCGTGACAACGATGATGTTGCGGTGCTTGTGGACTATGAGTCCTAATTGTGGTATTGGTGTGTGGTGGCGATGATTTGGGGCGGTTATAGTGGTTGTGGACTGTGACTCGTAATCGTGCTGTTGGTGTATGGCGAGGACAATGGTGTCAATGAAAATTGTGACCGTGACTCGTATTTGTGACTCACAATCGATTAAGTTGTGACAAAAAAATTAATCGTGACCAATTAATCCAATAATTTGCAACAAGTAAATGAGCAGTGACCAATAAAAGTGGTTGTCGACAAGTTGTGGTGGTGGTTATAGATTATTTGGTTGATTGTTACCATTAAATTGGTTAATGTGTGACCAATAAACAATATGTGATCAATGAAAAATATAAAATGTGACAAAGAAATAATGTGTAACCTAAAAAATTAATAATTTGTGACTATTTAATAAGTTGTGACCTATAAATTTTTTTATTCGTGACTTAAAAATAATATGTAATCTATAAAATTTTCGATTTGTGACCGAAAAATAAGTTGTAACCTATAAATTTTTTTTATTCTTGACCTAAAAACAATATGTGACCTATAAAATTTTCGATTTGTGATCGAAAAATAAGTTGTGACTAAAGATTAATCCATGACGAATTAATTTTTTGATTTGTGACCAATGAACAAACTCTGATATACAAAATTTTTGAATTGTGATCGTAAAATAATTTGTGACATAAAATTTTTGATTTGTGCCAAAAGATAATAAGTGACTACTTAAATTGTTAATTTGTGATCAAATTGTATAAATATGTGACATAAATTTATTTAATTAGTAAATTAATTAATTAAATCATAAATATATTTTAATAAAAATCTGATTTTTGAAATTTGAAACTTGTTTTCTTGTTTTTGAAACGTGCCATAATTAATCTCTTACTTATGAAATTTTCCCTTAATTGAATACGAGGAGAAAGAAAGGTGACAAAAATATCCAATTGGACAAGGTAAAAATGATCGACTCATCTCATACTCGACCCGTTGCCATTCCTAGAATTTAAGCAAGTGGCCCCCAGGGCACATCTTCAAGTGGTAAAAGGGGAGTGTAGAGAAATCCAGCTTTGCTTGAGACTGTCGCGTCAAGGGTTCGAATCCTGAAATATGTATTTGATTTTTGAGTAAGTGCAAGTGTACAAACAGCCTTTTACCTTATACTTTTGGAGGCATAACCTGCAATTTACCTCATTCACGATGGTTTAGGACAGGAGCGATGGGGGAATCTTGAAGTTGGGGTTCAACGTTTTAGAATTTTAGCAAGCGTCAATTACGGACAGTATAAAATTCTACGGCCCACATGACTATTTTAGTCTATTTTCTTCCCCGCACATGGCTATAGTATGGCCCACAAAATTAAGGTTTTACTTTTTGTTTTTGTTTTTCCAATTTTCATGACATTACTTTTGGTTTATCTCTTCTTTGCTTTACTTTCTCGCCACCTTTTCCTGTTGTTATCTTTACCAAATCCTTGTCTTGACTATTTTGTGTGTTTTGGAAACTCACTGGAGAAGAGAACTGTCAATGATGGAGTGGAATAAGCAGCCGCCACAACAGGCGGCGCAGCCGGAGGAAATGAACGGAAACGGTGGTGGAAATTTGAATGTAAACAGCGGAGGGATGTTTGTTAAAGTGATGACCGACGAGCAAATGGAAGTTCTACGAAAGCAGATTGCAGTCTATGCCTCCATTTGCGAACAACTCGTTGAATTGCACAAATCCCTCACTTCCCAACACGATCTTGCGGGTATTCAATGCTTTTCAATTGAAATTTCATGTTTATTGATAATTTAATATATTTGGAATATAATATTTAGCGCTCTTTATTTAGTGTGATTAACTAAAATTTCTTGATTTCCATATTTTAATTTTGTTTTTTTCCCCCTTTACTCGATGGCTTGATTTCAAAACTGAAGACTCTGCTCTACACTGTCGTTTTTCTTAATTTTGCCCTCTTCTGGGAATTATGCCTTTTGCACGATTGAATTAATCAATTAAGTTACTGGCACGAAGTCTTATGAAGATCTTAAGTGCCAATTGCGGATCAAGATGAAACTGATTAATTTGTGCATTTGTTTTGAATATCGTATTTCTTGTTGTCCTTATCTTCTTCTCCAGTTAGTTGATGTTTTCTACACAATGAAGATGGATTTTAAGTTCATTGAATATTCAGTGTCCTGTTTCTGTTTCTGATGAAATTTTTTTTACTTGTTCAGGAGCGAGATTGGTAAATCTATATTGTGATCCTTTGGTGACATCTGGAGGACATAAAATTACCGGCAGACAGAGATGGACTCCAACTCCTGTGCAACTTCAGATTCTTGAACGAATATTTGATCAAGGAAATGGAGCTCCAAGCAAGCAGAAGATCAAAGAGATAACAGCAGAATTGTGCCAACACGGCCAAATTTCTGAAACAAATGTTTATAATTGGTTTCAGAACAGACGTGCTCGATCCAAAAGGAAACAACAGGCTACACACACGAACAATGCTGAATCCGAAGTGGAGACGGAGGTTGAGTCTCCAAACGAAAAGAAAACGAAGCCTGAGGATTTTCAACCTCCGCATATTGCAAGTTCAAGGGCGGCCGACGATCTGTGCTTTCAAAACCCTGAGGCTAGTTCTGCTATGCATTCTATGGATCCCCGGGGCAGTAAGCCCGAACCCTTGTTGCCTCCGGAAGGCAGCTCAAATCACACTGGGAATTTTGGGCAAATGTCCTTCTATGGCTCTATGTTAGCAAATCCGAGTACGCATTTCTTACTCCTTTACAATTTTCTTTTATCATCTTCACTTTAAAATATGATATAGTACCAAGTTTAGTCTTAGTCTCAATAAATTTGGGGTCGATTACCTTAATTATTTTGCCTCTCCGTTTAGATCATTTCTACGTTTAAATAAGAATCAAGGCAATATATGTTGTTTAGTTGTGACAAATCACACTTATGAATAAGGAGCCTCTTATTTCTCCGCTAAATATATTCCCACTAGTTACATTGTTCTTCCTTTAATTTCTTCAATCGGTGCAATCCTCAAAATGGACCACTTGCTACTTTCTCTTTTATAGAGTTTTTCTGTCCTATTGGTAACTTTAGCAAAACTAACCTGAGGTATAAGAGTATTTCAGAAGTTAAAAGCTAACAGGTCTTCTCAGAGATACTTCTCAAGTTTTTTACCAGACTTCCACAGCTTTTTTTGTTAAAAAATGTTGAGCTTTTTTCGAATGTAAGCTAGCGCTACATCTGTATTTGTTTCGCTATTCTTTACAGCGTATGACACGATGAAATTGCTTGGGAATTTGACAAATGCAGGGATGGATAATTTGATTGGAAAGATGGAAGTTCCAGGAAACTATAATCCTTATCTGCAACCAGATGACTACAACATGACAAGCTAGTAACCTATTTCTCCCCTTATATTATATGTATTTAACTCTGTTAAATCGTTATTGAAGACGAATTATGTTTTTGGAAAAAACCCATGATTGCACATGAAAGAAGTAATTTGTTAACCTATTGTTTGGTACCACTTCCACCATTGAAATTGCTCTGTAGACTTGGTAATTTTGCAGTTTGTGCTCACTCTTGGTCTGTTTCTGGGCTTTAAAGTTAAACAAAGCTTATTTCCATTCTTTCAATTTGTTCATGGAGGAACTATTTTCTATTTCTTTCCATCTTTCTTTCAAGTGGTATTGCATATTTCTGAGACAATCATATTTCAACTAGCTATAGTGTTATCTACTCTTTGTTAGTTAAATTCTATTTTGTGATGGGTTTTGAGACATGTAGATAAACGTGTAAGATGTCAAAACGAAAAATTCACACTAAAGGCACCACGATCAGCCTTGCCTCTGGTGCCTGTCAACACAATAGGTGGCCGGGAAGAATGTTATCTATTCTGTGCTAGTTATATTCTATTTTGTGATGGATTTTGAGACGTGTAGATAAAGGTGTAAGATGTCAAAATGAAAAATTCGCACTGAAGGCACCACGATCAGCCTTGCTTCTAGTGCCTGTCAACACAACAAGTGGCCAGGGATCCCTTCCTGCCTATCAAATTTATCACATACTATAAGGAAAATTTATGGAATATGTGGTCGAAAATGATTTTTAATTTTTAATTTTTTTTGAAAAAAAAAAAAATCACTCTCAAACAAGCTTGCAGCGGCACCCTCTAAATTACAATTGGCGCCACAATTATTGTTGTTATAATTAGGCAATCTAATGCCTGCCTTGCTCGGGAATCACCAAGCCCCCGTTTGGTGCACATTATTTGGGAAAATGTGAAACAAACGACCCCTAAATTTGGTTATGGTAGTCAAAACGTTCACAAAATCTGAAAACTCAAAGTGGTACATTGTGCCATAATGTTGACACGTTGCAAAATATATCTCGCGTGAAATGTACCTCCACAGAATTGTCAATTGTGCACGAAAATGGCAAAATCAAACCCTTAATATCGTAATTTTTTCCATCACAACTAAAAAAAAAAAAAAAAAAAAAAAAAAAAAAAA